GAATATTACTAAGAAAATTAAATTTTGGTATTAAATGTCCCATAAGCAGTTGATATGCAGCTAAACAAACAGAGAGGTAAAAATTTGGAACTCGGCTGGTCAGCCACCATATTCATCTACTCTTGAGCCAACCGATTACTACCGCTTTGGAGCTTTGCAAAACTCTTTGATGGGGTGGAGAAAACCTTTCCTAATGAAAACCAGATTCAAATCCTTTTTTATCCTCAAACCTGCGGAATTTTACTAAAAAAACAGTTTGATAAGTGACAGCAAGTCATTGTAAATAATGGACATATAAATAGATAAAATATAAAATTTAATTTATGAAGAATAACTAAAAACAGTAATTGAAAGAACGAATTTTCTTTGAGTCGCAAATACAAATTGTAACATGTATATTATTTATCATTTCACCCCAAGCAAGGCAATAAAACCACTTAGACGCAAGGGCTACCGAGTATTAGATAATAAGAAAAAAATAATATTCTATTAATGATAGAAGACAATATAAGAACAAGAATTAAGAAACAGAAGATAACGATTGATATTTTGTTTTATTATGTTTAGTTATTAATGTTGCCGCAATTATTCGAGTATAAAACTTAAACAATGTTAAATTTAGCTGTTATTCTAAAAATTTAGTTACTTTTAACCACGTGGAATTATTTTCGGAATTTCGAAACCTGAACTTTGCAGAGTTCAAGCTTCGAAATTCTGGAAAAAAATCTCTCGAGTTTTAGAATTTGTAGCAGCTAAATTTAACATTTGTTCAGCTTTGTTTGTAGCTACGAAATATAAGAATTTATGTAGTTTACATTATGTTTTGCAACACAAAATATACACAATATTTACACCAAATGCAGAGACATATTGACACAGGAATGTTACAAAATGGCGGTGAAAATAAGCTCACACTCAGAAAAACAGCAATGTAAACGAACACACATTCCAGTGACAAGTGGCTATTTTCGTGTAGCGGTGTTAAAACAGTGGAGATTAAAGTACACTAAAATGGGGTTACTGTCTATGTGATTATTTTAGTATATATAAAAAACAAATATTGTTTGGTTACTGATGTAAACACTTTGTTAAGTATCGGACTATAGATATAACTTATTTATAACGTCCGAATATAGTGACACAATGTACCGTCTGAAAAGTTAATCTTGTATATAATAAGAACATCTGACTTTCCAGTTAAAAAATCTGGAAAAAATGCGTATCACACATGAATTATTATTCAGCCACTCTTTTATTCTGTCTAATTGATAAATTAAACTTTATTATTGTTGAATAACTTCTTCTTTTTTTTTTAAATCAGTGTCACCCCAAGCAAGGCGTACAGCCGTTAACACGCAAGGATGTGGAGGAATTAGCAAGAGAAACATTAGTAATGAGTAGAAAGAGAAAAAAAAAATGTCAGTAGATAGCGATTGACATTGCATTTTAATTCTTGCAGATTAAAGTTGGCTGGATAGCATGGGGCCGGAAGGGAATTCCACGAGGGGTGCGAGAAAAGAATGTAGAAGTTACGGCTACATCTACCTAGCTTAACTCTAAATTGATGAGATCTCACCGCCATTCTAGTATTGCGCTTAAATTCATACGGTCTAGGTACCACAATGAAGAGTTAATCTGTACAATTACTATGGAAGTATTTATAAAAAAAAATAAAAAAAAAAACACAGAGAGAGGCAAACTTAGGGTGGTGGGAAAGTTGAGCCGTCAGATCCGGATCACTGGGCCATTAAATAATATTGCTGATTCTTCTTTGGATCTTATCAAGGAGCTCCAGGTAAATGGAAGCAATATACTAAGCATGGATGAATAGTAGCCTTATAGATATGAAAGATAGATCCAGGAGGGAATAATCGTCTCGCCCGACAGAGTGATTCGACTTTCTTAGCACCTGACCTAGCAATGGATTTTACCTTCTTCAAGCCAAGGGTCCACCGTTATCTAAACTTGTGTGGCATCCGTTAGTCTCGAGAAACCTAGGATTTGCGCCTAAAGCTCAGCTGCTGATGGCGGTGCAGCATCTCTTATGTGACTGTCTTGATTGTAATAAATGCATGTGAAGACGTTCTTCCCCGATGTTTCGTAGGACTCGCTTCACCCCGGCGGCAAACCTTCGTTTCTCCTCTCTTCACTCCAACCCTCGATATAAATTGCATCTCCAGTGTGAGTGATTGTTGGTGACGTCTTCCCATCTCTCGATGTCCATGTTCATCGCCCTCGTGTCTCTTTTGCACCCCAAATTTCTACTTAATTTCTATGTGTCATTAGTATTTAAGATTATTTCATATCCACAGCCTTCTCAATCCTGTTGTAGAAACCTCTCCCTGATTGGCCATATCTGCAGTGGTGTAGACGTAATCACCACGTTTGGTCAATTTGGAGGTTTTCAATTCAGTGTTGTTCTTCTACTAGACCGGTTGCCAATCAAAATTCGTCCTGCTCTTTATCCATAGCTGAGGCGAGAAGAGATGGATTCATACCTTTCCCAAGGGTACGTAAAGAAATCGACCAAACTCGACAGAATTCCTCTAGCCGAGCTGCTATCCATTACTCCATCATAACATGGATGACATATTCGTCATTAAATCTGGTTGCCGAAGATGGAATCTACTTATGCCTGTACCTAATAATTTAATTACTATTTTCATAATAATGATCTTTATTATAATTCATGATTTAATTAATATAATATTATATAGGGCGAATCCAAACTGCATATAAAAAATACGTAAATCTCTTTCATACCAGTCCTGGGTATGACGATAAACTACATCCGGCAGCAAGGCCTCTGACTGACAGAATGAAGATTTTGTGAAGCGTGGAACCACCTCTTGATTACTGTTGTTCCCAGGTCCACCCAGAGCTGGGGTAGTAGCAACTATTAGGGTCCCAGATATGGGCAAATAGTGAACTCATAAACAACAAAAATATTATGAAAGTATAAAAATACATTTTCATGGCATAACTGCCAACAATATATATTTATAGAAAAATAACCAACAATACATATTTATAATAAAACGACCAACAATACATTTTTATATGAAAAAAATACTAACTATATGTATTCATATTAAAATTACTTAAAATACAATTTGAAAACGAAATGATCAGAAATACATTTTATAGTAGAATTAGTACCAATATATTTTATAGAAAAAACAACCATCAATGCATTTTATCTGTAATTGAAGACATGCAGTTGCGTTCAAAATATATTTAGTTGAAGCTACAAACTGTGTTCAAAGTATTTAGATTTTAGCATTAAATATTAAAGGTTAATATAGAGGTTGACATGCCGCGAAACAAATTCAACCAACGAATCAACCAAGAACAATTTCATGGTATTAATCCATATGATATCCTACAATTTCTTAAATCAAACTATATTTCAAAATACAGCTTCAATAAAACTACAGCATAAAACACACATATAGTAATTATGTCTACACAAATATGTATATACAAAAAAGCTGTGCATCATCTACCATGTATTCAATTGGGAAAGCAGAATAACCTATCATATTTTTATTACTTCAAGGCTCCCAGGAAAATTAAATTTCGGCATTAAATGACGCATGAGAAGTTGATATGCCATTAAAGAAACAAAACAAACAAATCTTTCATATTATTTAAAGTTTTATGAAATCAATGTTTTCCATTATAACTTGTATTGGTTAGAATATATTTTGAATAATTTCATGATAGGAATAATTTCATTTGAAAGATTATTATTTTAAAAAAAAATATCTTCGAACTCCACTATTTTATAATCACATGATTAAGGAAAAGTGAAATATATGATTTTTTTTGTTCCTTTCACTCAATTAAACAAAAGAGAGCTTTTTTTAAAAAAAAAAAAAAAAGTATTAAATGGACAAAGCTTTTCACAGGATATCAACCGTCCTTGTTAAAAATATTTTTTCATTTCCTGGGGAGATAATACATCACGGATTTTGTTGATTCGTTGTCGAATAATACAACGATCTTGAAGTAGAAATGTAAAAAATGTGCTACATAGAGACATCAATAATTCCAGTTGTGATTATTGTTATAATTCTATTTCGTTTGACTTCTGGTGTGTATTCATTTCTTTCATCCCCACCCCCAACAGACCTAAGGTCAGAAATGGCATCATGACATTTTCCATTTAGAGACTTATTATTATTATTATTATTATTATTATTATTATTAACCGAGAGAGCAGCATCATAAAAAAATATGCAAATACCCCGTCTGAGATGTATATATGGCGAACATGCATCACAGTCAAATATACGCAATTTGATGAAAGATTTTGATAAAAGCAGTCCATAATCTTGCAGGTGAGGCCTAGTCAGAAAAATCTTCATGTTGATTAATCTAGTTTGTCCAGGCGGTTTCATTCAACACCCGGCCATGATGCCCCAACACCACTTACGATCATGAACAGATATGCGCGGTGTGTTATTCCAGAGGGGAAATGTCCAAATAGTTATGATCATTTAAGATCAGAAATCATAAAAGATATATATAGTGTAGCATCAGGGCATTTTATTATTATTATTATTGTTGATGGTGTTGTTGTTGTTATTATTATTGTTGTTGTTGTTATTATTATTATTTTGATTTCTGCTTTGGTCATACTACGTACCAATTCTGCGGGAAGACCTAAGGCAGGTATTGGCTTACATGGAAACAACAAAGGACTGGATGATACAATTAGTCAAACAACACGAAAACACAAAGAAAAATATTCACTCATGAAAGAATGTCGTAAATTCAAACGAGATTTACATCTAGTAGATTCTGTAAGAAAACAAAACAGAACCCAAGAACTAATTGTTGCAGCAAAAATTATGAAAAAGAATGCCAAGGATAAAGCTCTTGAAGAGATGAAACAAAGCTGGCAAGACAAACCTCTGCATGCCCAATATCAAGAATGTGCAAATGAAGCCGATGTTGATAAAGTTAACACTCATCAATAGTTACGAGCACCTGGATTAAATACTGAAGAGAGAAAGAGAGAGAGAGAGAGAGAGAGAGAGAGAGAGGTGAAAGAAATATAGAAAGGGCGTAGAAAGCGTATATGGAATTACTGAAATTAGTGAAAACAGGTGAAAAATAATAATAAAAAAAAACAGAAAATCGTCAGTCTTTCGAGGAAACTTGTCTAAGATCAGGTCGGATAATTTGATCATTTAATGGCCCAGTGCTTAGATCCAGTGACTAGACCCAAAGAGTTGAAAGTTCAATAGCAGGCTACAGCACTGGTGAACCAAAAAAAACTTGAAGAATCGAGTTAAAGTGAAATAACTAAGACACCCGGAAGATGCATGGCACGTGGAACTAGAACAGTCTATCTCGGTGGACGAAAGTAATTCCAATCACCTGAAGAAGGCCGGAGCTTACAACGGCCGAGACGTTGTGAATATAGAAATGAAGATGAGGATAACAGTCCGAATAATGTAAATAATGTAAATAATCATAATAAATCATCTCGGAGATATTGGCAGGCATAGACTCCCCTCAAAAATGAAAGAAGTAAAAAAACAAACAAACAAAAGGTTTTTGACAATGGTGATTCCCTTAACTATCGCAAAATGCTATATAAACATGATTCATTTAACCAAACAAGAATCCATGACAAAAGGAAACATGTTGCACACTAAATTACATAAAGAATTATACCAAGGATAAAACTTTACACCGAACAATTTAACCTGAGGAAGGCTGGAAAATGGAACCATTGAAACGTTATGAAAATTAAATAATAAAATACCAACAAAAGTGAGAATTGGATATTGTAAAAATATTTTAACTGCAGTCATAAAACGCATCCAGGAAGAGTCGATTGTAGGAAATACAAAGAGTTTTAAAAAATAAATGTTTGAACTTTACAAAGGAGACGATCGAAGCTAGGAGAGAATTGATGCGTTAATCTATGAGAATCCATATCAAAAGATTCGTGAAATGGTAACAATGCAAAAGGAAACAGTTGCAAAATGATCTACACATCCTGGGAAAAGTATACAAGTTCGATTCCAGCCGAATGATCAACAAAGAATGAAAAAAAAAAAAAAATGACAACAGATGTTACCCGATTGCGTGGATGACATCTGTACTGTCCGTTTTAGGTTCACTGAGAATATCTTTTTGTGCTATGAGCCAACAGCTTTTAAGACAAGTTTAAAGTTCAAATTTTTATATTGTCCGATATGCACGGCATGTAATTTCTACTTTTGTAAAATAATCAATCGATTCATTTATTTATTAATAGCCAAAACATAAGTGAATTCTGTTTAAAAAAAAAATTGTACTTGCGTAAATGAATTCAGGTAATGTTTGCCTATCGTCCGGTTCACACTCCTCCACGGTCTTTTGAACAGGAGTAGATGTTTATCCCTTGTCTCCTGTTTAGGACCGGGTTTGCGTTTCCTTCTAATGTCACCACCGGTGGTCCCTTGTGTCTTGATAGCATTATCGCTTTGCTTGGGGTGGTAACCCTCTAACTCGAGTGGCTATTGAATTTTTTACAGAGTGAATATCATTGTAAAAGAAAAAAAAATCAGGCACATACGCTAAGTGTTATTTTTACAAGAAAATGTTGTTAGAAACAAAGAAAAGAGAGTCGAGCAATTATGAAATAGTAATACTCTTATATGGCCGATAATGCTGAATAATTTCCGCACAGATGAAGAGAAAACTGGTTCTACAGAAGGCTGATGAGAATAGCATAGAGGGAGAGCGTAAGCAACGATGAAGTCTTAAGGGAAATGAAAACAAAAAGGACACATATACTCAGAATCAGAATGAGACAACTGATATGTCTTGGACAGATAATAAGGAAGGGGGCATTGGCAAACTTAACACTCACAGGACATATCGAAGGCAAACAGGATAGGTAAAGACAATGAACCACTCACTTGACGGACTTTAGTTAATGTTTTACGAGGGATGTTAAAAAGACAAAACTTACTAAAGGTTACAGTGGATAGGAAGTGTTGGAGCGTCATGATTGAACACGGCACATAGAGGAAGTATTCTCCGACGGTGTCAGAAGACGATGATCCCACCAAGAAACGAGAATTTAAAATGCTGATTGAAATGCAGGCAAATAGTTACTCTTTGAGATATTGAGCAATTCTAATTTTTCTTCCATTTTCTCACTATTTAGTCTTTATCTGGAATGTTAAATTTTGTAAATATTAAAATAAAATATCCAGCTATGTGCTGTAATTTTCTTGAGATTTACCCAGCGGGGTATATACTGGAGGCAGGCAAGCACGTCCTTGAAATGTTAGCGCAAAATAATCTGAATAGCATCTTATTAGTCAATATATCTGGAGCATCGCTCAAAGAAAAGCAATAAAAACATGTTGTTAGTATTTTCAAAGCATTGCTTTGGACGTATTTAAAAGATAATGTGTTCGGCCTTGTGCTAGACAGGTTTTCCCAACCTGATCGATATTGATTCTGCGATTTCTTCTGCTGAGTGATCGATGAGCAAATGTACAGAAAATGGCGAGTGATTAGAAAATTTTGTTGGCCGATATTGAATATTGATTTGGTTTATTTTGATATACAGCATATCAACCCCAATGCGTTATTTAATGGCGATAAGATTTTTAGAATAGGTTCGTATGAAGAGTATATATATTCTTTGTATGAAATCATTTTGCATATCAACTTTCATTGACGTATTTTTGTAAGGAGGGGTTTTTTTTGCCGAGAGTAAGATGTATTCCTGGTCATAATATTTTTTTTTCAAAAATTTATTGTTGTTATTTTTACTATAAAAATCTGTTTCTATACTTTCATAGTGTTTTGACCCAACTTTGGGGGTTAACTATTTGCCGATAGTTCGAACCCTGACAGGTGCTACCACCCCGGGTCAGGATGGACCTACGAACAGTAACAATTAAGAGGCGGTTCCACCCTTATGAAAACCACCCAATCAGATGCCTTACTACAGGATGTAGTTTATCGTCGTACCCATGAGGATAGAATTTTGAGTATTACAAAGGAGACATGCAAAGAACCAGTATTAAAAAAACAAAAAACACGAGTCTAGGAATAACAGGGTCACATTCCTAGATAAGATATAAATATCTCCGTAACCAACAAATATTTTGGTATTTTATATAGTTTTAGGAAGGGTCATTCAGTTTTCAAAAATGTATTGCTGGTATTTAATTATTGTTGTAGCATACCTACGGACAATAATGGATATATCCCCATTCACATAAATACAATAGTAAATATTCTATGTTGGTCTTCAGTCGGAGATTCGTCTCCAGCTGTGCTAGTCGAACTCTCTGCCTTCGGGCAGAGTGGAACCCAGACGAGGCTATGCCGAAGGGCAGAATCTCGTCTCGGGTGGTAAACAGCTACCCGACCCCGCTTTTTACGGGGTCTACTGGGAATTTTTGCCCGAGCCTTCGGGCTCGGATACCCTACGTTAAATTCCGCCTTGGGCCACATCTGACCGCGTGGGGCGGTTAGCAAATATCCTTCAGACGGAGATTCGTTTCCATCTGTGCTGGTCAAACTCTCTGCCTCCGGACAGAGAGGATCCCCAGACGAGGCTCTGTCGATGAGCAGAATCTCGTCTCGGGAAAAATCTACCGACCCCATTTTATACGCGGTCTACGGAGAATTTTTGGCCGAGCCTACGGGTTCGGATACCACACATTAAATTCGGCCTTGTGTCACATCTGACCGCTTGGGGCGGTTGGTAGATAACCTGCAGTTGGATATTCATTGCGGAAATCACTTGACTCACTTCTAGCAGTTGACTGCTACTTCTAAGCGCCGCTGGCGAATCTTATATGTATTGTTCTTGTCCTAAGTACTATCGTTCATTACCAACCTTCGTGTGATTATTCTATTCAGTAACCTTTCCTAAATTACAACATTTTGGTGACCAAAATTACACCAACTATAAAAATCTATTTTTACACTTATATAGTATTTTGACCCCAGTTTGGGGGTTAACTATAGCTAGGAGATTAACAGGTGTATTCACCTGGACCTAGGAACAGCAGCAATTAAGTGGTGGTACCACGCTTTTGAAAATCTCATGATCAGAGGCTTTGCTGCCGGATGTAGTTTGTCGTCGTACCCAGGACGATCTAATTTTAAGTATTAAAAAGGCATTTTTACCCAAATAAAATATTTAAAAGCGATATGAAAAGAACCAGTATTAAAACAACAGCAAAAAAAAAAAAAAAAAAAGAAAAGAAATGAGGAGTTTAAATTGAAATAACTGGGTCACATTTCTAGATAAGATATAAATATTCCCTCAACCAAGAAATATTTTTGAAGAGTCATTAACATTCAAATAGTTCTTCAAATGAAATAACTGTTTTTTTAATATATAAATCAGATAAGGCAAGACCAAACACAACTTTGCCAGTAAAACTAAGAAGTGACCTCAGGATAATTTTTTATATATAAAATTGTTCTTTTATTTTTTTTTTTTAACACATTTATCAAGGCAGGAAAAGTGCCCGTCAAAGCATAATTTATCTATTCTTGTATGCTTTTTAATTATGTACTATGCAGGTGGATGGTGAAAAAAGTTTCCATGTGAAAGTGAGTGATATCGCAAAAAAAAAAAAAATGGTTGGGAACCCCCGTGTTAGACTAAGTGAAATTTTCTATACATTACAGTCAAGTGGATTGCACCGGTAGATTTCGCCTCAGCTAAGCACAACAATATTTAGACAATAGAACAAATGATTATGAAGATAATTAGATACTGAACATTGTAGACACTTTTTAGACGAGACGACGTGTCATAAATTTTAGCTTTTTTTCAAAGCGCTCACTTCATTCACTAAAAGTTTTTGTGGGTATTCAGTATAACGCAACGTGTCATTGGCCCAGTTTGCTCACAATTAGCTGGATGCGTATTCTAAAGACAATCGACTAATGGTATGACAACCAATTTTGTAGGTAACCAGGATATAGCAATGTGTCATTAGAACCAAGTTGTCCAGAATTCGTATAAGAAGCATTCTAAATACTTCCGACGAATAGTGTAGTGGTATATTTTGTACGTACCTCGGATAATACATCTTGTCATCGGACCGAACTTGACTAGAATTGGTTTCACGAGCCTTCTAAAGATTTCCGTCGAATGGCGAGGCGACCAAATTTGTGGCTATCCTGGATAATATATTGTGTCATCGGACACAATTTGCCTAGATTTCCTTTGAAGAGCATTTACGACACTTTCAACAAATGGTCTGGTGACCTACATAATGTTTTCATCCAGTTTTAAAAAAGTGCACCGAATTTATGGTCTACATATATGAGTCCCTCGATAACATTTGTTTTGCCAGATATAATTATGAACTTATATAAACCCAGTGGTACGCAGGTTCGAATCTTAATTACCTTGCATTGGTAAGAACGAAGTTAACCTGAAATGATTTTTTCCCTAGAATCGTTAATCTGTCGGAAAGAGTCCCGCGAGGATGCTTCCCCGATCACGACTATCTACAAATGTAAGGTCAACCACGATCTATGCTACATATTCTCACAATCAGCGCTTATTACCGCCTCCGTTTAGGTCCATAAAATGACCTTATTCAATAACCCTCTACATTTACAGCCTCTTAGGTCTTGTGACGTGCTAACCAACATAAAAATAGAAAGGGTCGAATTATCCTTATTTCTTTATATTTCTTTGGTGAGGAGGAAGTTGTACTCGGGTAGCTTTTCCCAAGTACGGCTCCTTTGGGAAGCAGAACCCCGAGGGGATGCTCACCAGATCAACTACATTTTTAACGCCTAAGTCAAGTGTCGACCGTTATCTTTCCTGTATATGCTCTTTCTCCTCGTGTGTCCATACAAGCAGATTTTTCATTTATTCTACAGGGTGTTCCAAAAGTCTTGGAGACATTTTGACATTGAATATCTCGAAAACTATTAAGGATATCAAAACGCGCCCGACATATTCTGAAAGAATTTAATCTGAAAATTTTACGTGGAATGGTCAAAGATGTTGAATGTGAGCACCATTGGTCACACGGCACACATCAAATCCATCATCTTCCTATATCTCTTGCATTGCAATGCAAAAGTCCCCAGCAGCTGGTTTATCAGTGTCCTGCAACTGCTGGGTAAGCTGTAAGATGTCATGTGTAGTCGTCTTTTTAAGGCACGACAAACAGTTGTACGAAGCTGAAATTTCTTACTGTCTCTTCTGATCGATTTATGGGTGCTCCGCTCGAAGGCAGTTCGAACTCGCTCAACCGTATCATCTGAAGTTGAGGGGCGTCCCGTTCACTTAGCTGGACACAAACACCCATCCTTCCTGAATTTACCATGTCATCTCAATATGGACTTCCTTTCTGGTGCCTCTTTTCGGAATTTTGTGCGAAATGCACGTTGAAGAAGTGTCCATGATTCAGTTTTTGCAAATTCAACGATGCAAAACGTCTTTTGTGGTTAAGTGAACGCTTTTACTGGATCTGAAAAAATATGAAAAAAATCATTAGCATTACAAAAAAGTTAATGAATTTAGCTTTAAAACGGTACCACTTTCATCTTACTACCATTCATAGTTCAGCAGATATGAAGACTTGAATGTTCCCAAGACTTCTGGAACACTGTGTATATTTTGAGCCGGTCTTGTCTTGAGTGGGCATTCACTTTAAAGCAACAAAAAAAAAGTTTCGAGTAACGTATGCACTATATTTCTTCTAAACTGAGTCTAAACTAGAAAGGTCCGATGGTAACGTAGCCACTATTTTTGGGGGCATATTTGTTTTGCTTTGGCTTTTGGTATAATAGCAATTCCAGATTTTATTATCTGACAATGGCATTTCGTCTCCTTCTCTTCGTGCTTGTTACAATCTAAACTGCACTGGATGCCATTACTTCCAGAAATTTTCAAAGAGGCACTTTTGATATGATTTTTAGATAATAGACGTTTATAGTGGTTGAAAAAGAGGGCCATGGTGGCAATGCAAAAAATTTAGTGAATTGTTAAGTTAATAAATTTGCCGTTAAGCCAAGCCTTGTAAATTCACATAACATCTCACGATGACACACAAATCTCTCTTTCGTATACAGAGACAATTACACACAGATACACGTATATACAGGGTACGATGGATAAATTGTCGTCTAAATTACGCGAAAATGAAAATAACACTGATATCTCATTTTAACAGATATATTTACGAAAATTACACAAAAATATCTTGAAATGTTCAGAAGTAAATTTATTCAATAAAATCACCATTTACTTCAACCACAGCTTCCAGATGAGTTCTGTATCACCCGCATCTCTTCTGGCATGGTGCAGAGTCCTGTTACAAGACATAGGGTCTTTCAGCAGCTACCCACTTGATCAAGGTCAGAACTATATCCTCAAGGTGTTTTGAGTCTGCGACCCTCACCAAAAAACTCAAGAGTTCTTTTCTTAACAGAACAATCAGAGTGAGTTTTCCTACTGGCCGTTCCTTCGAAATCAACGCTAAACTCATCGAACTCTTTTCGATTTCTCTGGAGTGTCGTCAGATTGACACCCAAACAATGTGAAATACTCGTATTGAAGCTTCCGGTGTAAATACCAAGAAGTACAGCATGTCTTTTCAAAATTTCTAGCGGAATGTGTGAGTCTATCTATCTATCTATCTATATATATATATATATATATATATATATATATATATATATATTGTGTTATTTAGGCAGCGTTTTTTCATTAATACATATTTCATTAAATAATATAGACAAGTGTTGTCTATTTATTTTATGTAAATTCTTTTCATAACGTCTGATAAGCTTAATAATATTATCATTAAACGAAGAAAGAAAATCACAATATTGATCCATATTTTTTAATCCAATCTAAGCTTTCGGATTACATAAGCCATTATCAAAGATGTCAATTACTGTACAATATATTAAGCAATATACCGACAAAACAGTGATGATAGTCTGTTATTGTTTACATGGATGATTTCTAAGCAACGATAAACACGTGCATATAAGACGCTAGAAGCGAAAATCGCACCGCAACTCATGACGTCACACATGACCACGCGAGAGTGAATTCGAGAAGTATTAAGTATGGGAAGCCGTTGGTATAAACCAATGGCTTCTGTTACCAATTATTGACATTTGAGGATATTTGTAGAGATTCCATAGTTGATTTTGTTTAGGTTAGGTTTAGAAAAAAAGAAAAGAAAATTGCGGCCTAAAGCCAAGGAGGAAAAACTAAAAGAAAAGGAAAAGAAAACTGCAAAGAAAAATTCAAAAAATCAATTCAACATAATCGATTTCGGGTAAAAAGTTCTTAATGGGTGTAACCTATAGGTTATATAAGGATTTCGACTGAAAAGGTCTTAATTGTTGCTATTTTTGCGAGGATTATTGTAGTATGATACATGACTAAAGAAAGAATGAGAATTTGACGTTGCAATGGGAAGTTTTGATGGTGCACTACTGTGAGCTTTCAGGCATATATTCACTACATAAACTAAATAGAATAATCGATACCATGATGTAGGACTGTAGGGGACAACGGTCTCATGACCATAAGAATTGTAAGAGAAAAAACAAACAGAACCAGAAAAATAACCATAAGAATTTTCAAAATATGGAATTCGACATAGACATAGAAACAAACCTAAAAGAAGAATATTTCCTAGATGTCACACTCAATTTAAAAATGTTCAAATCAACAATATAGAAAACTCAACGATCAATCATTTTACATGCACAAATCTCCCAACCACACAGTCAGTGACTGTGGTTAGCTAAATTTAAGTATAAGACAGGTGAGGACCAGCCTTCCCCATACCCTATTTTTTCACCTTGCTTCACATTTGTACATATACGTACAATAAATATCATTAGTCGAATAAAGCTTCTAGTTAAGGTTTCTGCTATATTACACATGCATAAATTCAAGTAAATATAATTAATGTGTTAAATTTCTTGGAGAAACAATAATTCGGTGTGATCAACAGTTTTAACAAGAACAGTTCGCTCAAGACCTCGGTCACGATGACTTGCCTCATCGGGCTAGCACAGCCATTGACGACTTCTGGACAGTTCTACCAACATTTTTCCATTAAAAAAAAAAAAACTAGTATCAGTAGCTGATATGCTTTTCTAGAACTTTCAGAAAACATCAAGAATTCATCTCGCTGACAAAATGACCATAGTGTGATTGGTACCAGGGTTTCAAAAGAAATTACCAGTCATTTTGAAATCAGATATAAGGTCAAATTTTGGATACAATGCCTATCTAGCACACTCCAAGATCTTGCACGGGCATACAATGATATAATTATAAACCCAGAAAAATACCCCAAATGGAGAGTAACATACTTACTCCCAAAAACAGAAGAGATGCAGAACATGAAGAAGTATAGGCCCATCACCTGCTTACCAACAATATACAAGACCCGCACTACTACTAGAATACTATAAGTTAATAATATAGGTATAGTAGAGAAAATACCAACATTATATACATCAACACAATAAACTCTGTTGGAGATATTGGTTATGCATCAATTGTATATCTATATTCATATAAATATGCCCTATTATCCGGGGATTTAACTAGTTTTTAGTCTGTTTAACAAATTTGCCAAGACTGTGGAAAGCTAAACAAAAATTACTTATAATAACTGGGGCATCAGATAACGTACAAAATGTACAAAATTGTACAGCCCTCCGCACCCCCCAGTCTCTTTCTGTCTCTTGATTTGTGCGATAAATCTATCTAATATTTATACATACTTAAATATACAGTATATTCTTTGAAACAATAATTAATCGGTCAGAGTGAAAATAGGCCCTTCCTCGCCACATGCACGCGCGCAGACACATATAAACATCGCACACATAGACATAGATCAAGTAAATAATTTTCATAAATATTAGAAAAGATAGATAGATAGATAGATAGATAGATAGATAGAGAGAGAGAGAGAGAGAGAGAGATACATCGATATATTCGATTCAGTACGCGGTTTAAGAGATAATCATGAATGACTGTTGAAGCGGGAAAAATTGTGTATTCATCAGATAGTGTCTTTTGTTTTCTTTGAATGTGGTTCAAATACACATATAGCAAATTATCGTGATGTCCTATCTTGAGAGCCGGCTGTGGCCTCAGGAGTATAAAACGTTTCTCATTAAATCTCATAAATGCAAATGCATTATCAGTTTGTCTTTGTTTACCTTTCTCTCTCTTTCTCTCTTCTTTGTTATAGTGATTCTCTTTTTCTCTCCCTCTCTTTCTTTCTCATGACGATTGGCTTCAATCATTAAATAAACTGTCGCCGCTTGGTGTTTACCTTAGTATCAAATTTTTACACTTACATAAGCTATATTTCTGATTTTGAGCACATTTACCCATAAATATAGCATACCTTAAAACTATATTTTTTATTATATATATATATATTGAACAATAAAAAAAAATATTAAAAAATTAAAATCTTCAGACACACTGGGTTGTAGATTAATATTCTTTCGCTTTTTTTTTTATTATTATTTCATTTAGATTCCTCGACTAGTTTCGGCCAAAATGGCCATCATCGGGAGAATAAATATTTCTGCTTGTTGGTAGCAGTAAACTACAGAAATGAATGTCTTGATGGAGAAAATGAACTTTTGTCTGTAGTTTTCATTTGTTTTATATATATATATATATATATATATATATATATATGTGTGTGTGTGTGTGTGTGTGTTAATGGTCAGAGTTGAATTAGATCAGAGAACAGTAGTAGTAAAAAGTGTTCACTACACGTGAGAAAAAAACTAAGTAAAAATAACATGTAGAGCTTTTAAGTTTTAAAATCAGGAGGACAATTAGAATACACGAACACAGTTTCGTCCTGTCTTTCAATCATTATACGGGTGTTATTTTTTTTAAAGATAATTATGTAGCGTTCTTTGTGGTTTTTGTTTAAATAAAGAGTTAAAGTGTTCATTTTGAAATTAGCACCCGACGAGGCCGTCAGGTCGACACCGTGGTTGCGTATTTTAATTGAACTCCTGATTTTTAAACTATATATATATATATATATATTTTATATATATATATATATATATATATATATATATATGGGATAACGATAAATTTTTATATATCAAGAACAGTTTTGGAGGTGTATAACAATGTGGGAAAAGTTTTCGTGTGACGCGCTTCGTCCCTTAGGACTAGGTTTGTTTCCGCTGATGCGATTGCACATGCGCATAAAAGAGGGACGCTGGGAATTTTCAATTTTCTAAAAATTATATATATATTTTTTAATAATGTGTTTTGGGTCATATATATTTTTAATAAGGTGTTTTTGGCTTTGTTTTTTTAATAGAATTTTGGGGACATAATCTAGACAATTTCATTTGTATTCTTTTTCTTCTTTTTTCCAATAACTTTGTTATTAAATATCCCACAACTATATCTAAAGCAATAAAAGACTTAATCAATACAAAGCAGAACAACAAGCCAAAATTTGAAGAAGGAAGTTAGGGTATCACCTGCAAGGATTGCCGGAACGAATATACTGGAGAAACCTCAAGAAGTTTAGATAAAAGATTAAATAAACACAATGAGTCATTTAAAAAAAAAAAAAAAAAAAAACACAAAACACATTAGTTGTTCATTGTAACACAATTTTAAAATAAAAAAAATGCTACTCTAATTAAAAAAGAAAACACTTCACTAAGACGAAAATGTTTATAAAGTGCTTTAATCACTAGTTCATCCACAGTCCCGTCCAGGTTCTTACAACGTTTCAACATTCTTGGCATACCTTTTATAACAATGTAGGATATTTAATAACAAAGATAATGGTAACAAGAAATAAGAGTCTAAATAAAATTGGTTAGATTTTCTACCCAAAACACATTATAAAAAAATCAAAACGTCAAACACATTATATGAAAAAAAAAAAAAATCAAAACACATTATTAAAAAAAAAATAATGATGTAATTTTCATTTTGAAATTGCTAAAATCGCTGATTTTAGACACCTTTCGTCACAATGTAATTCTTTTTATTAAAAAATATTTAAAAAATACAATATAATTTTCTGAAAACTTATTTGATCAATATTAGCTGATTTAATGTTTAATTAATCTGATTTGAAGCAAATGTTAATTACTTTAAGTTTAAAAATTCGCAGAAAAGAATTTTTAACACGGCGACAGTTTAAGGTGTTGACAGGTTGACAGCTTAACAGGTAGACGAAAATTTATCTTTTTTTTACTGCAGACATAGCTGTAAAATTTACTTGAGAAATAAAATGTAAGTGCCGTTATTATATAATTTTTAATTACCCAGTAATCTTAGAAAATAGGAAAATATTTTCTGTAATATATTTTTTCATTCATTTTAGGTACGTTGGGTTTAAATTTACTATTATTGTAACTATTATATTCTGATAATATCGTCCGTAATTGCCAAAATTGGCACGTTTATACACACAGAAAAAGAAAAAAAATCATAAGCATTTTAAAGTATTGGGGGTCGATGAATTGTTGTAAGTTTTTCTATTTGTGGTTATTAATCGCTTTTACTTAATAAACAGTATCACCTAACCGTTAGGAATTAATAAAGAAATTTAAAAGATTTAAAACTTTATAAATTATTCTAATTAAAATTTGTAAAAAAATCATTATTCATAGAAAATTTTTTTCTTGAGACAATAATGTCCGTAATGTATCTTATTTATAAAAGTAATTAAAAGTTTGTCTAATTAAATAAACTTTTAGTTTTATTGCATTTTTTATTTTACAAATTAGAGCAGATTTTTTTTTGTAACAGGGTGTCCTGCTTTATAAAAAAAAACTGATGATTTAAATTTTCTAAGAAGTTCTGTGTATAACTAATATATGCAATAAGCGGTAGAATAATTAATTTCTTGAATTTTCATAAAATTAAATAAGTGTGTGTGGAGGGTAACAGATGTAAAAAATGTTTTACCAAGATTTTCTAAAAAGGAACATTTCTCAAATTAATTCATTTGTGAATAAGTTTAAAATTTCATTAAAATTCGAAAATTATTTGATTTTTGCTAGAATTCCCGAATCAATGTTTTTTCACGGTAAAAAGAAACACATGATTATCATACCTGCTTACGAAACGCATGATATGATTAACTGAGAAAAATTGTCCAGGATTGTGTGTTTAAAAACATTAATTTGAACATTGGTAACCAAACGCATCTCGATATCTAAGAGTTATAGCACGCCAGATCAAATGACGTTTGTGTATAAGCACACGGGTCCGATTCCTGTTGGTGAACGCATATTTTCTACGGAATTTCTCGAACATTCAGGCCAGTAATTGTAATTAATACTGTTTAATTTAAAAAAACAGAGCATGCACTTAAATAAATTGTGTCTATTAAAATAACTTATGAACAGAAAATATATTAAATAATTCTCGGACTTAGTCCCTTTCATTATATATATATATATATATATATATATATATATATATATAATTCACTATTTTGCACGTTTTTATTCACTTTTGCTAGCTGGTAAAACTCGGTCCTAGCGCTTATAACAATATTATCTCTTACTTAGGCTAATTGCCGTGACATCATTAGACATTCTCCTCGATTGACTTCAATGAACTTTCCTTAACTCTCTCTGTGTTCTTTATTTAAGGTGTCTTGCCTAGTTCATTTGTGTTATTGTGGATATCTTATTTACTCGACAACACTAGCGTTCTTATAATTTTTAATTTATGAAGAGTGTGAGTGCTTAAAAATGTTTGTAGTGATTATAGTCCCGAGCGCTTTCGGTTAGTACTTTTAGCTCTTTTCAGGGTTCGGTTAATTTTACTTATTATTATATTTTGCTTAGGTTTTACTGTATTTCATTTGGTTGTCGTTGTTAGCATATCTGGGATAAACCGCACGGGGCGGTAGACACTATGGACACTTTTGTATACACTCTTAGTACTGATAAGAGAAAATAAATGTAAGAATGCTAAAAGAAATAACTAAAAAAATTACCAAATAATCATTGTCCATTGTATTCAGTGAAACATGTATAAAAGAAAGGTTGCTGTCTATATATACATAGGTGTGGGGTTTATATTTTTATGTGTATTTACGTATAGGTTAGTACTCTTTTGTGCTTGTGTGTTTCGATGTGTTTAATGGAGGTCTCGAATTAATCAATGGTTCAGTACATTAAAAAATCTAGGAAGGAGAGGAAAAAAGCTGATAAGATCTTTGTTTTTACACGGCTCAGTAATCTTTATCATATTTTGTCCGATCTCTGGCTTCGTAAATGAAAAGCAAAAATTAGGCATTAAATGCTTTGATAGATAGATCAGCTAAAAAAGAATGACCTTCCAAAGCAGAACTGACATTCAGTGAAATTTAGATGCCATTATTCGTGGCTGAAATTGGTACAAACCAAAGAAGAAAATGAAGTATGAAAAAAAAAAAAAAAAAAAAGGAAAAAGAAAGAAAGGGAAAAAAAAGTAAAAAGAGAAAGGGGTTTAAAAAGAGAAAAGGAAACGAAGCAAGCATGAAAAAAGAAAGCGGGGGGTAAAACAACTGAGATTTGGGGAGAGTATGGAGTGAGTAGAAAATACCGTGAGAAGAAGAGGAAGAGACAGCAGCTGAAGGAAAAATAAGGAACAAGAGAGTATGAGAAGCAAGAGTCAGAAAGACATACACACACATAGATAGATAGATAGATAGATAGAGAGAGATAGAGAGAGAGAGAGAGACAGAGACAGAGACAGAAACAGAAACAGAGATAGTGAGAAAGAGAAAGAAAGAGAGAGAGTGTGTATTAGAGAATAAAGATTGACAAAAAGGCTGGACAAAAGAAAAAGAGAAGACGAAAAAAAGCCAAAAAAACAAAAAAAAAAAAAAAAAAACAATAGCAACAAAGAAAGCTTTCAAGTTGGCGAAGTTTTCAGATTAGGACCTCATTTTATATCTATCACGACTCGATAGGTTTCTGTTCCTTTTGTTATTAAATTCTATTAAAATCCTTCAAATTATGTACATAAATTAGTTTTTTTAGTAGTCTTTGTGTCCGTGTCTTCTGTAACGGATCGGTTGAAGCGTTGTGGTAGTAACAAAAGCAAGAAAAAGATTGAGTTCAGTGATCCAAACAAGTCTTGGAAACACACAATTATTTTACAAGTTAGAACATCGAGTAAAACATGAATAAGATTGTTGTTCAGCCCCCAAGACAATTAAAAAAAGGACTCTCATTTTTTTCAATATCTAACGAAATTTCGAAGATTTATCAGACCGCTATACTTGACAGATTGCAAAGCAAATAAAGATATTTCTATGAAATAATTTGGAAATACTTTTACAATGATCTGATTTATGTTTCTGGGTGTATTCGTTACCATAGGACAGAAAAGGCGGCAGATCGCAGGAAGAATTTTTTTAGTGTACTACCATTAATAATAGTGGGGTCTGCATTTATAGTCACCTTGATAATAATGATCTGATTTTTATGCTTCACTTATTCTGGATGAATAAATTCACAATCTAGTTTGATAATAATAATAATAATAATAATAATAATAATAATAATAATAATAATAATATCATCATCATCATCATCATCCTGAATCATCATGTTATAATCCTTTGGGATTTTTCTATCAACACAGATCGAACAATACAAGCAAATCCCATAGACATTGTTGACAAGACACTGATAAGACGCAAAAATATTTTCGCGAAGGATTTGAAGCAAATAGAAAGATCTGGAGATGGAAATAGAAAACAATGTGGCACTTAAAAACAAAAACTGTTCCTGTTGTGGTTGAAGCTTTGGGTCTGATAAAGAAAGTAACTCGAAAACAAATCAACAAAACTCCCGGAGTAACATCTCTCCAAGAGATTCAGCAAAATAATCTTAACAAGCACAACCCAAATATTGCAAAGAGTTTAGTCCATTTAAGAAAAAAAATTACCTGATTTTTCAAAATAAATAAATAAATAATAATGCCTTAAAGAAAATATAAAAAAAAAATCTCTTCACAAGTCCAGCTCACACATTACGAAAGGATTTATCTATGTAAAATGTCTGTAATCTTGTTTTTTTTTGTTTTGTTTTTTTATTTTACAAAAGTAATCATTGGAAAATGTCATGAAGTCATTTCTGACCTTAGGTCTTTGGTTGGGACCCGGAAGGAAATGTATATACAACAGAAATTCCAGAAAATAATAATAATAATAATAATAATAATAATAATAATAATAATACCTGCAAGTGGAAATAGAAAACAACGTGGCCCTTAAAAACTAAAACTTTTCCTGTTGTGGTTGGAGCTTTGGGTCTGATAAAGAAAGGAGCCCAAGAACAAATCAACAAAATCGCTGGGGCATCATCTCTTCAGGACATCTAGTTATTAACCCAGAGTCTTTAAGGTTTTTATTTTGTTAATACCTGCTTTATTTTCTTCCTTTTTTAATCATTTCACCCCAAGCAAAGCGGTAATGCCACTAGAACACGGGGGATTACAGGGAGTGAATTTGAAATAGAAAGAGAAGACTGAAAAAATAGGGAGAATTGAGGAAAGGACAAAAAACGACCAGGGTTCAAGAAGATAAAAGATGGTGATTGACGTTGCATTTAAAATTTTGAAGATTTTTGTCATCAGGGAAGCAATAAAACGGAAGAGAGTTTCACAGGTGGGAAGTGCAAGAAAAGAAACTGTTCGAGTAGACGTGGCGGTTTCATTGAGCTATTTCAGCAGTAAAAAGGTGGGACGTATAGCAAGATTAAATTTATGTAGTCGGGGTACTAGAGAGACAGTGGAAACAAGGAAACTATCGCACCCCTCGCTTTCCCTAGGTCAAAGGTTATAAGTCGGCATGTAATTATAAAACAAATAATATAAATCAAGAACAATTTTTAAAAAATCTGAAGTCCGCATTCACTGTGATAGTAACAGCCTGCTTTTTAGTTGTTTATTTTTGTGTTAAAAAAAGCTAAACAGGAAACATTATCAATAATTAAAGAGGAAAAGAAATGATTTCTAAATGCTGCATAAAATAATGATAATCGTGAAATAATGATTCCATTATTTCGTTAAAATATATTTTATTATATATTTTTATATACAGGGTGTCCATAAAATCTCTTTACAATTAAAAAAAAATATTACAAAATCAAATGAACAGAGAAATATGTGAAAATTGTTACAAAATGAGGAATAGATATTGAAGTATTTTTTTAAAAATTTAATACACCTCCGGTGGACTCTCCTATCGTGAAAATTAAATGAGTGTCAGCAGTGGATGGTGCCTTTCGTTTTACACTTATGCATGCTAGCAGGGGCTATTGTGGCTATTTGCTCTTTCTTAAGTGTGATACTAGCCCAGTCTTGCTGTGGGCGACAAAGCCACACTGACAGATGGAATTTGTTAAAGCAGGATTTTGATGGTGTCTCTGCTTCAGAGCTTGACGAAGCTGATAATGGGGCTTCAGTCTACTGACTTCAAAACCATTTAACTTAATGAAACATGTCTTACGCCACTCCGTTCGGTTTTCAGATCAAAATTGAGACGATTCAAGTTGTCTTTCAATTTGTCTTTGTAGCATAAGTGTGGACGTCCAATTCGACGCTTGGAGTTTGGTAGCTGTCCATACAGCAGCTTCTTTGGAAGCCTATGCTCATCCATTCTCACAACAGGACCAGCCCATCTTTGCTAGAATGGTTTCAATTCTTGTAATGTTGTTACATTTCTTCCGTATTGCATTATTCTTTTATATATCCCATTTTATATCACATATGGCATGAGGACAGCGCATGTGAAAGGCGTCAAGTTGATTTATGTGCTTGCGGTACGGAGGTCTACGTTTCTGCACCATAGAGAAGGCTTGAGAGAACGACTGATCTGTACATGTTGATCTTTACTCTGAGAGACACGTCTTCGGTGTTCCATAACCTATGTTTAAGTTTACCGAATATACTTCAATATGGACACCATTGGGTGCACGAAGCACATCATGGCGGCACTCGATTTTTTCACATATTCCCTGTAACATAGTCTCATCAGTGGCGACAATAGCATCAGTGATTTTTTTTGTTTTAGATCAGTGATGACCCATATCTTTATTCAATACACGATATCTTTAACATAGTTCTATAGAAAGAAGTCCCGTGGAGTGATATCTGGTGAACATGGAGGTCAGGTAATTGGGCCATTCTTTCCAGGCCATTGGTCTGGAAATGTTAAGGGTTCAGTACCACTTTCTTCAACAGGATACCTGAAATACACAAATGCAATGTGATTAAAAACTTTGAAAACTACTGAGTATATAGAACAAATCTGATTAAGATATCTCATCAAATATCTTTGTAATATATTTTAAATTGCGAAAAGACTTTATGGACACCCTGTAACTTTTTAAAAATTTTTAACTGTATCAATATTTAACAAGTAACATTATTTTATACAACATATAATTAATATTTTCATTCCCTCATCCGTTACAAATATTTGTACATTTTATTTTATTACAATACATTTTTCTTGTATGAAATTATGTAATAAATATATTTTAACAAAATAAATGTATCCTTATTGTTATGGTCCAGGTTAGGACCAAGGAAGAACAACACGAACACAAGAGTAGAAATAACGAAGGTATATTACACGAAATAATAATACAAGATGTGGAAGGTGTTAGTATGACTGTCAGTCTGGTTTGGAGTGAACTACTATCGGCTCGACTCGATTCGGTATCTAGCCCCCCACCCCCAACGAAGGTTGCATGTGGCACAAGGCCGAGATTAACGTGGGTTTCCTGAGCCCGTAGGCTCGGCCAAAAAATTGCCCGCAGAACACGTATAAACGGGATCGGGCTGGTCAACCTCCCCGAACGAGACTCTGACCTTTCAGCGGAGCCTCGTCCGGGTACCTGTCAGCTCAGAGGCAGAGAGTTCGACCGTCAAGCCGGGCTTCTCGGCTTGATTCGGTATCTAGCCACCCACTCTCGACATCGGCATTTTTTCTACTCTGATTTTCTTTCATCTCCAACGAATTCTTGTAAAGCCAAACGGTGATAGGGAATGGGTGAGCGGAACAGATTTTGGTGAAAATGGATTCTAGTCCTGAACTTGCACGTGGTCGGCGAATTTAGACATCAACGCCATAATTATAAAGGAAGCGAAATGCGAATAAGAAATTAAATTCTTTGATAAAAGCGACGACAGCGGATATTTACGGATTAAAATAGCCAATATCAGAGGCAGAGCGTATTTAAATATAAATATAAACGTGGAAACTGAGGTCAACACCGAGCGGTGACAGTGTGTTTATTGCTTGAACGTAAGCTTCAGGCCATGAAGTTTGCTTTCAATCTTGAAACAGATTGTCGCCACTGGTGTTGATCTTCCTATCCGCTTATATATATATATATATATATATATATATATATATATATATATATATATATATATAAGTACAGTGTTGGTGCAGATGGAATAAAATTCCGATAACCAAAAACAGTATTCTTAAAAGATTGCTCGAGAAAAGCAAATAATATTTATTCAAAATTATAACATATGCATGTTAGAAGATCACTACAAAATTTGCAATTTTGTTTCAACACTACTGGTGTCCTATCAAGTGATGGTGATATATATGCTGTAATTTTGAATAAATATCGTATATATATATGGAGCAGTGGAGCAGTGGATAACTGCTTGGATTGAGGAATCGCAGAGCCGAGTTCGAATTCCAGTCGAATCCATTACATTCACTTACGTGCTAATACCCTTGGGAAAGGTATGTATCCTCTTCATCTCCCTCCAGCTATGGGTAAAATAGCAGGACAGACTGGGTTCTATAGCCTTGGATGGCAACTGGTCTAGGAGAAGGAGAACTCTGAATTCAAAACCTCCGGAGGGTCGTTTGGGAACCTTGTGGCATGCATTCGGTGCACCAGGTTTCTGTATTCGTCCCTCCAAAAAGTGTGGCTGGTCCTGCACGAGGCCTTCACCACTATAATCTAATCTCATGTGCCGGTGTCGGGATGTCGGTTTCCTGGGGACTTATCGGCCTGACCCTCATACGTCGAACGCGACGGGAGAGTCGATTATATATATATATATATATATATTAGTATTATAAATTAATTGATTTAAAATATGGTTATTTTCGCTACACAGTTCCAACCATGTTTCAAAAATAGAAGCTAAAAACCCCTAATTTTATTTTTGCAAATAAATTAAAAGCATTAGTTCCCATTTCATCTTCAAGCGAATTTTGGAGTAACTTTTAAAATTTACCGGGTTTTAAATACACAGCTAAATCACGTTTCCATGGTTACATAATATTCTACTCAAATTGAACACGGGGTGTCTAGATTTTCCTTATGACAGTATCATTGTATCAGTTATTAGCTACATTTTGGTAAGGGGTGAGGATGTATTTTACACTGAAACCTGACGTCGGTTGAATGGATGTCGTCTGAATTTAAAAAAAAAAAAAAAAAAAATTGTTAACGGTAAAAAAATTTTCAACGTCATCTTTTAAAATTAAAGATTTTTTTTACAATACTTTTTTATTTAACTACGATTTGAAATATTTTCCTTTTTAATTTTTATTTTACTATATTCTTTTTAAGAACAGTTAAATACATACATATGAAACTTTATTAATTGGGTTACATATATTTGAAATAAATAAATTAATTAATTAATAAATAAATAAAGTTTACTAAATCTGAGAAATGACTTAGCTAGTTTTGTAGTAAGTGCCATTAATATTACTTAAATAATATTTAAATTTGAAAAAAAAAAAAATTTACATATACTTTTATATGGAAAAATAATCTTACTTAATATGAGTAATTTTCCTTCTGTTATAAAAGTAATATAGTCTATTAAAACTAAACAATGAAAATATTTTAAAATTTTAAAGTTGTAATTTTGAATTTGTAATTAAAATTGTAGTTAAATTGAATGAATTCTAACCTAAATTTCTTTTAAATAATACTACACGCATTAAAAGAATCCAAAAATAACACCTATAGTAAAATAAAATAAAATAAAATAAAATAAAAATAAAATTAATATGAAATACCATAACATGTAAGCTTTTGAATGACCCATGTCCTCAGTACTTACATGTGAAATATTATATAATAAGGTTTTATATAAAAGAAAAGTTTACTGAATCAGTGAAATTAAGTAACCATTTCTGCTGTCATAGTCATATACAACAAAAAAAAAAAAAAAAAAAAAATGTAACCTCATATACATACTTAAACTTAATGTTAAAATAATCCTACATAATATAATGGATTCTAATACACATTTAACTGTTCTTAAAAAGAATATAGTAAAATAAAAATTAAAAAGGAAAATATTTCAAATCGTAGTTAAATAAAAAGTATTGTAAAAAAAAAATCTTTAATTTTAAAAGATGACGTTGAAAATTTTTTACCGTTAACATTTTTTTTTTTTTTTTTTTTTAAATTCAGACGACATCCATTCAACCGACGTCAGGTTTCAGTGTAAAATACATCCTCACCCCTTACCAAAATGTAGCTAATAACTGATACAATGATACTGTCATAAGGAAAATCTAGACACCCCGTGTTCAATTTGAGTAGAATATTATGTAACCATGGAAACGTGATTTTAGCTGTGTATTTAAAACCCGGTAAATTTTAAAAGTTACTCCAAAATTCGCTTGAAGATGAAATGGAACTAATGCTTTTAATTTATTTGCAAAAATAAAATTAGGGGTTTTTAGCTTCTATTTTTGAAACATGGTTGGAACTGTGTAGCGAAAATAACCATATTTTAAATCAATTAATTTATAATATTAATGCTCTGTAAATTTACATTGAGCACTATTTTGTAAAAATAAAATATCTATAAGAACACCGGATTTTATATCTTACTGTTCTTTCTTTTTATTTATATACATATATTAGTATTATATATATATATGAAGAAATATAGTCTTAAGGTGTGCTATATTTATGGGATAAAGTGCTCGATATCAGAGATAGAGCGTGTGTAAATATAAAAGTGAACATAGAAGTCAACACTTAGAGACGACAGTCTGTTTCATGCAAGAGGCCTGACGATTGCATATAGCATGACTGTGTTGGCTTCGAAGGTTTCGAAGAGATGGAATAAAACTCCGATAACCAAAAACAGTATTTCTAAAAAGTGCTCAATACAAATATTTATTCAAAATATTATTAAAAAATTATAACATGAGCATGTTATAATATCACTACAAAAATAATCATTTCAAGACTTGTGGGGATCTATCAAGTGATGGTGTTGGTTACATAAAAAATAAAAATTATGTTATAATTTTGAATCAATATATATATATATATATATATATATATATATATATATAATTTATTTGTTTAAACGTTATTTTTAATTGGATACTTATACTTGAAAGGATGCTGTGTTTTTGTTTATTTATGAAATAATATATTTATTTATTTACATCTGTTGGTCTGAATCTTGTTAGAAAAATCTTGAAAAAATATTCAGGCTGATAAATGTAAATAAATAAAATAATATATATATATATATATATATATATATATATATATATATATATATATATATATATATATATATAACTCTGATCCTGTATCTTTGACAGCCTGTCTGGCAGTGTACTGATTAAGGATTTGACCTCAGAGTTCTCTTCAGCGATTTTCCTGTGTAGTTTGAGCAATAATAGTTTTTGATTACCCGAATTACGAGTAAGTCAAACATATACCATTAATTTTGAATCACCCCAAATTCAGCCAAGTTTTTTTTCCGTGCCATCCTAACCATGTTTCGTCATCAAAGGACCTTCTCCCCGAACAACACTCAGCTTCCCACCTATAATTCACCGCGATACTTCGATTTGGGATTCTGATTTTTGTCAATCATCTTCGATTGCTTCAAATTTTGATTCCTTCTGAAATGAAAATCACAAGAAAATATTAAGAGTAATGAAAATGTTCAGATTTTGGGAAAACAATTTTACATTTCTTATTATATATATATATATATATATATATATATATATATATATATATATAAGCAAATATATGGATATAGATCCGACACTATGAAGAAAAATATATACGGAAAAAACAAACAAAAATCCTTATATACAATTATTCTGTTTCAATGTTAATATGTCAACGTCGGACGTTTCGGTCTAATAAACCATCTTCAGGACATATTCATAAATTATAACATTATCAGTACAACATGACAAAGACGATGTGGCGACAACGTGACCATGTTTTAAACGGAGCACTGATCTTATAAAACTTTCAGTTATTTGTTTGGATAAGTCTTGTTCTTATGTACATCGTCTTTGTCATGTTGTATTGATAATGTTATAATTTATGAATATGTCATGAAGATGGTTTATTAGACCGAAACGTCCGACGTTGACATATTAACATTAAAACAGCATAATTGTATATTTTTTTTTTTTTATATATTTTCTTATATATATATATATATATATATATATATATATATATATATATATATATATATACACAAACATACATATATATATATATAGGAGGCACGGTATCTATAGCCTTGGATGGCAACTGGACTAGGAGAAGGAAAACTCTGATTTCAAAACCTGCGGAAGGTTGATTGGGAACCTTGTGGCACATAGTGCACCAAGTCTCTGTATTCAGCCCTTCAAAAGTGTGGATGGTTCTGCACAAAACCTTCACCACTATAAACAAATCTCATGTGCTGGTGTCGGTCTGTCAGTTTCCTAGGAATTGATCTGCTTGACCCTCATACGTCGAATTCGACGGGAGAGTCGAGCAAGAGCAAGTATATATATATATATATATATATATATATATATATATATATATATATATATATATATAGGTAGCATATTTTCATACAAGCATGTTTTGTTGAATAATCTAGACATATTACATCTATTTATTTTTATTTTAATCCTCTCATGTTCACGGATCAGTTTCTTAATGTTGTTATTCTTATAGTCATTCTTATAGTTTTTTTTTATTATAAAACTATAAATAATAATACTAAAAACTTTTTAAATTATATGTTTTAAGAGAAATTCTTTGTGATTGAATTATTACATTTGTAAATGTTCTCGTGAACGTAACGTCCGTTCCTTAATTTCAAAATGTTAATGTAAGGGAGGTAACTTAGTTAATAATTGAATTATTAATAGAAGCTTATTATTTACTTGTGTTTAAACTGTTATTTGTAGCTTAGATATATTTTTTTAAACATTTGTAATATAATCATAATTAATTTTGTTAAGTGTTGGTTTTATTTTTTTTTAAATAAAGATAGCTTCAATAATTTGTCGTTTCTGCTTATTACTTTCTTGGTGAATTATACAGATATTGCTCACTAATATTGTTCTAAATTGCGAATGAGTGATGAATCATTCATGTGTAGAGAGAGTCTTCTAGATAACGTGATTGTGGTATAACCAACATATATATTAACTTTTTTGTCGGAGATACAATCTACCAAGGGACATTTAAATTGATTTATAATGTTTTTTTTTGCAATACGTTAATTGGTACGGAGGAGTTATTGTGGATGAGTTAGTTAGTAATACTGTATTTAGTATAGTATATAATTAATTTTTTTTCGCCGGGATCTGTGGGAGATACGAATATTTACGTTTTTTTAGGATTTTTTCATCTTTTTCATATTTAGAAGACATCTGATTACGATATAAAAGATAGAAATGTTTAAAACTATTTGAGGAAGTAATATGTTCTATTTGATTTATATTAAAATTTCTAATAGATCGCCTTATTTGTTCATCAACAATGCAGTTAGGAAAGTCATTATTAATGAGTTTTTTTATGTTTTTTAGTTCAGTGCAGAAATTCTATTTTGAGGATGAGTTAACTTTTGCATGGTTTATTAAATTTTGTAATAGTCAAGACATTTGGTCTTATAATTAAGAGTGCAAGAGTTTATGCTAATAGTTTTTTTATATGGGGAGGTAGTGAATATATTATTATTGGTGCTCATCTAAATATCAAGGAAATTGATTTTATTATTATAATTAAGTTCATATGTGAATTTATGGACTGCGTTTTTTTTAATTATTTTTGCAGTTCGGGTATTTCATCAATGTTTTTTTTTTTTACTAAGACAAAGATATCAAGAGATATGGAGGGATTTTGAAATTATTAAATGTATTATTTTCGCGTTTAGCCATATAATATTTACTAAAATTTGGGCCCAGAACTAAACACCGTCACTTTGTACATATATATTGTCTTTGTGGTAAAAAATGAAACTTCAGTAGTACAAGTTTAAAGTAGTTTCCGTAGTATGTTGGGTCTTATTTTTAATAGAGGTAGAGATGGATTATTGTATATATTTCTTCGGATTATATCAACTGCTTTTCTAACTGGGACATTGGTGAATAAATCTTCAATAAACTTTTAAAAATAAGTGTTTGTGACTTTGTGCATGATCTAAATTGTTAACTGTTTAACCACAAAAGCAAAAATTAATTTCGGACAAACACAACTATTTGTCTTAGCCATCAAAACGCTGAAGATGATATTGGAAAATGTCGAAAGTACTCGGATAAAATAAAAATGAATGAATATAACCACAGTGCCTTTCTTGTTTCTTTAATCATGAAACAAGAAAACTTATACGTGATTACGAAAGGATTTTATTGTAAATAAATAAAAAACTCATGTCTAAGTTTTTAATCAGACATGTTTAAATAAATGTATATATATATATATATATATATATATATATATATATATATACACACATATATATATATATATATATATATATATACATACATACATATATATATATATATATATATATATATATATATATATATATATATATATATATATTAATATTAAAAAGAGACAAAAGATATAATTATAGTTAACCGATGCGTTTCGTCCTCAGAAGAACTTTATCAAGGCAATGTAGGGTTTATTATATCGCACGTATTTATATACACAGAGGTGAGGATGTCATTGGTTTATTAAGGCAGGTAAATTTTGGGAAGTTCATGAATCTCCATTAGGTGGTTGAAAGTTTAGTCAAAGCATGTGGAGGGAACAAAGTGTCCTAGCTTAACGCCTGGTGAAAAGTAAAGTGAGCCATTACTAATCAAATTAAAAAAATAACAATATTGTGTGGATTGTCAGTAGATTGTTATGAAATGAGATGAAAGTATGTGCTATATATTTTCAAAGGGTTTCACCATTTTCTTTTGATTTTTCGACATATTTAGTGTTGTGTATGTTGGCTTGGGAAAGTACTAATTTTTTCAGAAAAGGTGCGATTAAGAAAAAACAGGACTTAGATTGATATTTTGATAATATTCGATGATGGGACTCTCGAGGAATTTCCTTTTGAGCAGATTACTTTTGGTGAGTGTGGTATTTTTTAGATCAAAATAGTGGTGGAATTTTTTTCTTGAATGGCTAATGCATTTGTTAAATTGTTATTTATGTGGTACCTTTTGTGTCCATGGATACGTTGTTTTTTTTTTAATTTCTGCATGGTTCTCCAAAGTTTGGCAATATATAAGTTATGAATAATCAAGAGTGGTCTCCTCTTGTTTTGGTTACTCTCCTCTTTGAGAGAGCTATTTCTGTTTACTGGGTCTATAAAAAGACGCTATACACAAACCTTGTATTCTCAGTTGAATAAAGATTTCTTAAAAGCTACACCTATGTACTTTTGTAATTATAATATACATATATGTTTTAATATATTTTATTGTTATACGTTATTTATATAGACACAGATATTTATTATAAACAGAGTATTATTTAGTCCATTTCATAATGTATATATATATATATATATATATATATATATATATATATATATATGAATTGATCCGACGTAAAAATTTCAGGATAACAACTGAGACAAAAATTGAGTTCATGCAGCATTTACTGATAAACTCCTACAACAAAAAATTCTCAAATCACCATATTAGTAATAAACGCAATCTCTTAAATTTTCAAAAAATTTCAACATTAGCGTTGCGACTGCACGCTTCAAAAGTATTAAGTTTATCCGTTAACAATAACACATTTCTAAAAAAACATATTCCGATTCGCATTTAATTTTTGGTCTCTGATGCTACCTGGATTTTACTATAAACAAAATAATTTCCATGACTGAGGATGACTGTATATACAGTTGAAAGTACTTTCAGATTAAAAAAAAAGACCTTATACAGCTTGTAGTTATTATTAAACATAGATCATAACATTCATCGAGTGATTCGTAGGTTAATGCAACTTTAAAATTTTGTTTGCGAAAGGTTTTCGCCATTTTATATCATTAACTTTACTAATCTACTTTTTGTATGAATGATTCATTGTAATATAAATTGAACAGCACCGCATATTTGATATATATATATATATATATATATATATATATATATATGAGAAAGCGAGCGGGAAAGAGAGAGAATTGTAACCACGAATGTTTCGATACTGATTTAAAATCTGTAATAATTAAAATGCGTATTTACTATGAGTGCTAAAACCTTTTTTGGTTAATCCTGTTTCTAACAGTCACTTTTATAATTTATATATACACCACATGAAGTTCTTAAAACCTAATCTTTAAAGATTGACGGCAGAAAAAAATAACAGTTCTTATTACTTGTTAATTCAAAACAGATGAGGTGAACTAATTCTAAATACAAAGAAAGTGTACGCTACAGTTTTTTTTTTCATATCCGTATCAAGTAGTACCTTACATACCGCGGAATTGCCAACTATGATTTCAAACATCCA